ACATACTAAAAGATGGTATCTGCGTTTATTTTAACATTTTCTAGACATTGTCACCATAAATTGCTGGCTGCTGCACAAAAGGGTAAGAGAATAGAAGAATGACCTAACTCAGATTAAATTAAAACATTTTAAACTGGAAATCGCTAAAAGACTTTGTATGAGTGGTCCATCGTTACAAAGAAAAAGAGTAAGATCGCCTTCTACCACAGATGACATGATCGAGAAGAAGAAAAAAAGAGTAATCCTTCCCCTTCGAGATGTAAGATTTGATAAATTTGATCATCTTCCTATATGGAATGAGAAGAGACAATGCTATAAGTATCCACAATGTAAAGGAAATACATATATATTTTGCGAAAAGTGTTGTGTTAAGTTGTATTTAAACAAAGACAATAATTATTTTAATAAATTTCATTCATAAATAATGTAAAACTAAATATATGATTATGTTCATTGTTCCTAATTAAAATCCAAATATTAGTGTTAATGCATACAGTACCACATATGGAACAGAATTGAAAAACTAAATATCTACAAAATCAATGAATTTTAATTGTTATTATTATCATTTACTATGTCTAGACACTATATAGAACCACATATATTTTTTTGACACGATTTAAAAAAATCATGCATTGTAGGGTTAAATGAACTAATGAAGTATTAAAAGACAAGTGAATTCAAATATAAATGAAAAAGTTTACTCTCTAAGCGATAACTCAGCTCACACGAGCGTAAGGGTTAAATTTAACGGAGGCAGCGCTTGTGACCGAATGTACAACAGGCGAACTAATTTCGTTTAAAACAAGCTAAGGTTCAGTACGCGGCAATTTCACGCGAGCATGTAGCTCGACAAAATTTGTTGTTTGTTAGGGAGCATATGCCTGATGGATATATACAGAGTATACTGTTCCGCCCATGATACCCCCATTGCCATTCCTGAGGACTCAGGTGTTATTCCTCTGTACCCTGTAAATTCACTGTCATATCCCGCCGTTCAAACTGAAACACAATCATGCAAACACAACTGCTTCACGGTAGAAGACTACATATACATACATGTTACACGTTCCACATAACAGTGTAACATGTAACATGACGACTGCGATTACAACGCGCAACAAGCTCTTTAAAGCCAATACAAAGAGTTTCTTAGTGATTCTGTATTTTTGTATGTATGTTATTGTCAATTCGGAACCAATGTCCTTAAATATTTTGCAATCGATATGGCTTATTTCCATCTCGGCCGCATTTTAATTTTATGACATTGCAAATTGAAGCAAAATCTATATGTACCTACATGAATATACGGTATCTATGAAGTGCGATAACATAAATAATTGTTACACGTATGTTACACGATTACAACACCAGTTTATGAACTTATTAACCGATTTTTATAATTTTTTTTTTTATTGATAGGCTTTACTTTCATCTTTGTTCCCACATTTATTTTCTCATGATTGAAGCCACTGCTTTTCTTTCCGAAGCTAAATGTGTTTTTTTAATAGATGATAATGCAATGGTAACCCCATCCACGCTATCGGTATACACCGGCGGGGCACCAGTGAAGGATGATAGGTCAGTTAGCCCAAGATGAAGCAGGTCAGTTAGCCCATCGTGACGAATTCAACAAGAATTTTTTACGATAGTTTCTAGGGGGAACCACGTGGAGGTCGACCTAATAAGGCATATTGCTAGCAACGGGGCTGTCAAACTCCATTGCTAACAATCCCTTTCTCCCTGACTTGATAGGGTATATTGCACTAAGTGAGCTAAATGTGTTAACTTGTGTTAACAAAGCAAGATTCATTAGTGTCATCATTGAACATGTAATGCAACATGTTGCACAACATATGTTTAGTACGTCTAGTGAACACGTGGCTTTATGCAAATAAGGAAGTGTAGTGTAATGGAAAGCAGCCTTACAAATCGCCGGGTCGCGGTGGCTGGGTCGGGTCGCCGCGCCGCGCCGCGCCGCGCCGGGCCGCTCGCGGTGACGGTCGGCTGACTGAGGGACCGTGATTGATACGAGTGGCTCACAGACGTATGCCGCGTCCTCAGCGCACATTAGCCGGTTGGATGGGACTGAACAGGATTTGAATCTTGGATCGCTATTGTGAATATTACTTGGACCGTGGAGGGAGGGACACGCTCGCTTTCGCTTATTATAAACGGTGACGTTCTATGAATGGGCCATGAAAATTAAATTATTTAATATAAATTCCGTTTATAATTTAGGTTACTTGTATTATAATATTTATTAAATATTTTGGATTTTACTGTTCAAAATTTTGCAAAGATTTTATAGCAGCTTTACCAGATGCGATTTTAATATTTTTACCAAAATTTCAAATATTTCTTCTCATTGATACAGTTTCTTTTCTTTTATCCAATTATATACTTTTGTACGTTTACACTATATTTTACCATATAACCATTACGTAAAAGACGATTACCCAAAATTCCCAAATTTATTCCACTTTTCTGTTTCTTTTTAAATTTGTAGCATAAAATTTTTAAATTGACATAATTAAATACAGGTCGTACAGTAGTAGTGTTATTACATTTTATTAAATATAAACATCTTACGTCTAGTATTGTTTTATTTCTCCTCTATTCAATAATGCACCGCCTACATATTTCTCGGTTCGCCTAATGGTTGACTGGTAGAGAACACAATCCGGTGTTAAGTCCACACAATGCACATAGAATTCACTGTGTAGTAAAGTTTAAATAAATAAATAGCGTCTGCGTTAATTAATTATCCGTCATTAAGAACATTTTATGAGAATCGACTAATTTGATTTTAGCAAGGATTTTATTATATATGTAATAATATGTGTTATATAACTGGAGTGGAGGTGAGGAAGAGCTTCACGTTTTCTGACAAGTATAATATAGTCATAGTATACATTTCTAAAACAAGCAGATACCAATTCGCTTGTTTTTTTAGAAGCTGTATTATATGATTGTGTTACTAATTAGTTATTGGATTACATTGCTAACGGTAAATTATTAATGACAGTGTCACAAAATAGAGATTCGGTGGACGTTTATTCCCATATAGATGAAAATCATGAATATACCTACAAATAACTGTGATTTATCTTAAAAATAAACCGTTTAAAGATTCCGTAACATTTAAAATATAAGACAATAGCTTCGTTCGTAGTCACTTTGATTTTGTTTGCACTGCTTGACATCCTCATTACAATACACACACAGATAGGATAGAAAGGATTCAGAAAAAGTTTATTAAAACACTTGATTATAGAACTGGTCATCATTATGTAGATTATGATATCTCCTTTATTATATAATGTTCTTAGAGAAGCGTCGTCATTATTTTGATGCAACTTTTTTGTTTAAAATATTAAATAACATCGTAGATGTTTCTGCTTTGTTCAGCGATGTTCATTTTACGAGTGCCTCGTAGATATGAGCGAGATTGTGTCTAAAAGGACTTATTTGTAATAGTTGATTACAGAACTTGTTATGTCAGTTTCCTAAGGCGAGCCTTTAAACTGTATAATGACAGACTTAATATTATAGAAGTGGATTTATTCAATAGATGTTCATTGGCAACCTTAAAAAATATCTTGATCAAAGAACTGAGTTAGTTCACAGTGCTGAGTTATTTAAGAGGGTATTTTCTGTATTTTGATACTGTAATTGTATTTTTATATATTGTACATTAATTATGACAATAGCATTAAGTTAATTTTAAATAAATATAAATATTATTAACTGAGATTCAAAAGAGTGACTGTTGAGTTTCTTGCGGATTCTTCTCAGCGGTTAACTACATTCTAAATACAGCAGCAGATTTATAAAAGGTAACGATTTCAAAGAGCTTGTAAACAAGTCTATTTGAATAAAGTTTGCGGAGCTAAAGTCTGTTTATATGGATACAATTCCGAATTCTAATTTACAATATTTATAATATTTTAAATCTAATGTATTGCCGAAACATGTGATCGTTTCAAGTAAGTCCACTAGTCGATATTTTCGATATTTTATAACAACTGAAGTCACAGATTTTTTAAAAAATGGAAATCTACTTGTTTAGAATTCTGCCTTTCAATTCAGAAAGCAATTTCATTGCAGACGAATGAATAGAAAATAAGAAACTCACCTGTTGTTCTTTTCAAACAAAAGTGGAATTCTACATATTATGTTTATTTTCCCAATACGTGTGCAATCTAAAATGATAACAATAGATTTCATCAGTAGGGTTTTTGTCGGCAGTGAACAAAATTTCGGGCACTGTAAACATTGGTAGGATGTGAGAGAAGCGACGCATTTGGAGCATGTGTTCGTTGCGAATGGCGCTCATCAAAGCATTCGTATAAATATTATGACTGGCCGGACAGGAAGCTGGAATTATACGTTTATTGGGCCGTTGCTACTGAACAACGTTGGAATTTGGGATTTGCGGGAATTTTATGCGACTGCTCAGGTACGGGAAGTAAGGCCAATGGTTTATATATAGACTGTGTTCCCATGATTGCACGCAACATAGATATTAAATTATATTCCAGACTGCGTAAGTGTAACCACATTTGTTTGAACGCTTTAGGGGGTACCATGTGTGTCACAGTATTTGCTGTGACACCAATGGCGCCGTTCATTTCACTTGTCAGTTACATAGTTTTATTTTTTAACGCCATCTATCATCATCATATCAGCTTTTAACTGTCTACTGCTGAACATAGGCCTCAGCTTAAAAGGGGTTTTACCAGTAGTTGCCACGCTTGGCAGGGAAGATGGTTTTTGATGATGTTTTAAGAGGGATGCTGCTGTCTATCCCTCGACCATAAATTTCCCTTAGTCGCTTCTTACGACACCCACGGGAAAAGAAGGGATGACCCATTTTATGCTAGGGCTAGGACTATTACTACTATACCCCAAAACTACATTTCTAACAATTTTTATGTACAGTATTAGCTCCGTTACGATATTATTTTACGTAAAGATAAAAATAAATATATACTCACTTGCTAAGGAGCACTGCGCTCAGCCGAAGATCCCAACTACTGTACGATGCCAATAGTTCCATGCGCTGTCACTTGCTTGTCTCCACCCAATCACCAACACTTATAAGAGATTATGTACAAAAGGGAAGTGCTTGGCAGCTCGCAATGTTAATATTTAAGGAGATATTAACTAAATCTACCGTGTATATCTAATTTTTGGTTTCAGGACTAAATTATAAAATAGGTTTTGTTTGTTGGAATTATTGTATAAGTCGTCGCTGTCTTTATTCTGTGAAGGTTGGTCCCCTGCAACAAAGGAAACAAGATATTAACACACATATAAGAGTACTATTTGTTTAAAGCAACTTGGAAAGACGGTTCGTCTGATGGAACATAACAGTCGCTTAAATATATGAATACGACCCCATGGTTACAGTCCGTACTCACAGAATAAATGTGACGCCCATGGCGCCCCTCGTGCGTTACCATTTCAAATTCAGTATTATGTCTCCGTCTAATTTTATCTGTAATTTTTAAAGATTCTGGCTTTTGAAATGAAAATAATTGTATTAACAGATCTAAAATTAGAATTTAAAGCAACTTACTATATTTGGACATTTGGGTGATAATGTAAATTGGCCAAGCGTTGTGATATTAAGGTCTTAAGTCCCAATTCTAAGTACCAAGTGACTTCACTAGAACCAAGTAAAAACTACACTAGAATACTGTTTGTCGGCAGAACTAATAGTAGCTATGTGCTTTGATTATAATCATTGTAATAATCAATCCATCTTGTTTCATCGTACGATAGTATCCGGAGACAAAGGACTAGGTATAGTGGCGTCTGTTTCCGTGTATTGTTGTAGCGCCGCGCCGCGTACAATAAACCGTGGTAATGTGCGCAGTAGGCGTCCTCATAGCCTCCTGTAGGGCGGGCGGCGCGGCGAGCGAAGGCATTCACATTCATTATCATTACGAGCAGAATGGAGGAAATACGTTATCGCATCTTATCATATTTCATCCGCCTTCAATAAGAAGCTCCTCAATGCAGTGAAATATTTTGTGTGTGCACGACGCGCGTATCGGCGTCGATCCCCTTGTTGCTCCTATATTAATTCTGTCAAGACAGAAGTCGGTTTTTAAAAAATATCATGATTGTAACTGACGTTATTTTTAACATATTATATTTATCACTATCATCGTATCAGCTTTCAACTGTCTATTGCTGAACATAAACCTCCCCTTTTGCTAGTAGTTGCCATGCTTGGCAAGCGGATTGGCAACCGCAATTAGGTTTTAGAGATGTTTGAAGTGGGACGCTGCTGCCTATCTTTCGCTGTCCCTTAATTATCTCTTACGACACACACGGCAATGGAAGGGGTGATCTATTCTATACCGGGACTACACGAAGAACATATTATATTGTATATTTTTTTTGTTATTTTACAGAGATTGCAGGTGTACTGCCGGCCTTTTTAAAAATTAACATGCTCTTTTCTTGAAGGTTATGATGTCGTATCGGTTCGGAAATACTGCTGCTTGAAATTAACATGAAGAAGTAATTGTACGTGGAAGGAAGTCCGCTAAAAACACACGGTGGAGTACCGCCACTCATCCAGATGGTTGGGATGGAACTATAGTTTGTCGCAAGTTGTACGGTGGTGAAAATCAGCAGCAAGTATCAATCCGAACATTTCCTCAGAGCACTCCCCATGATAACTTCAATAGAAGTTGCACAGCAACATCTACATAACAAAAATGTTTTGTTGAAATATGTATAAAGTGTTACCAGATTAAGTATTTATTCTCAATTTAGATTAAAGTGTTATTCCTCTGTACCCTATAATTTCACTGGCATATCCCACTCTTCAAACTGAAACACAGCTATGCAAACACAACTGCTCCACGGTAGAAAATCAAGAGGACTGAAAAAAATACCTGTGTGTAGTTGATTGGTTGCATTGATGCTACTGCTTAGCAATCAATGTGTATTTCCCACTACATTCTCTATTTGTCTTTACGCCAGGTTCGTACAGGAGCGACATAGAAAATCCAATGTTAACCATTATATTAATTGGCTATGATAACCATTTAACATTATGCAAAACCTGAGCTTCTGAGCTACAAATGAGCTAAAAATTTCTATAATACAATCATTTCTGTGATACAAATTATCCTAAAAACCTTTAATTCATATTGTATTTAATATTTTACGATGAGGCCAGGGAAACACAATGTATTAATGCAAAAAAAAAATCCCTAAACTCGGTAAATAAAAAATCAGATCAGAAATATAATCCTATACGAGTATGTACTGAAAATACCAATAATACTACGCTGGCTTTGTTTGCGAGGTCACTCGACCGACTGCTATATTATAATAATCACAATAAATTGTAACATGTTAATATCTAATAGAAACCAATTAGAAATAAAAGGAATTCATTATGTCAACAATATCGCAGTGTTACGAGTAGCGATATTGTTACTTGTTTATTTATGAACTCATTATTAACGAGTTAATGACATTAAGTTGTGAGTTCGCTCGAACACGATCTACAAAGACTATAAACAACAATGTACGTGTATGTACCGGCGCCGGTGAGCCACTCTCTACACGCTCGTCGAGGAAGTAATTAACCAAGTTTGAAATAGGGTTTTGATAAAGAACCGGCATTCGATATGCTCCACGGCTAATGAGCTGAGTTATCCGTTACATTATACATTGGAAGTATTATATTACCTAATACGTCGATACTTTACATGTACATATAAGTACGTACCTAGTTGTATCAATAATGTTGGCAGAAACTTTCTAATGGCTACAGAGGAATAACACCTGAGTTCTCAGGAATGGCAACGCATGGGGGGTATCATGGGCGAAACAGTATACTCTGTTATGTCCATGGTACTGCTCATGTGTATAGGCGACGGTTGCCACTTTCCATCAGGTGGGCCGTCAGCTTGTTTGCCATTCTAAGTTGTATAAAAAAAAATTCTAATCAAAATATGTTTAAGCAAATTTAATACTTTTTTTATGCAACTTAGAATGACAAATAAGCTGACGGCTTACCTGATTGAAAGTAGTAACTGTCGCCTATAGACATGAGCAGTACCATGGACATAACAGACAGTATACTGTTTAGCCCATGATACCCCCCATGAGTTGCCATTCCTGAGGACTAAAGGTGTTGTTTCTCTGTACCTTGTAAATTCACTGCCATATCGCACTCTTCAGCCATGCAAACACAACTGCTTCACGGTAGAAACACGAATGGAACAGCAGTGGCCAAGCAAACGACTTTTGTACAAAATCTCCCTCTGGTGATGAATACTGACTGAAATTAATATGAAATTGAATAACAACCCTTGTTTCGGTAACTAACCATGGATTTACGTTTTTTTTTAAGGATCTGATTCACAGGTGGAACACTGTGCTTGAAGCAATGATTTTCATTTCATAAGTTACATACCGTGTGTGATAGGTACATATTAGAAAAAATTATCTCAAAAAAAGAATAACCACACATGGTCGTGTTAAAATGAGTATATTTATCTCTACATTTTTTTATCTTAATTTACGACTGATTTAGACAACATTTACTTGTTAAATAGGAAGCTAAAAGCCTAAGCATATGAACTTGAACAAAATTCGCGTTAAGTGTATTAGGTATAATGAAATCCACAAATCAGGAATGAAGGCTGAAGCGGCTGTTATCGACGACGTCGAGCATCCTATAATCTGCACTTTGGTCTTAAACGCGCGTACAAGTAGTCTATCTGAAGGAGATTATCCACATTTAACCTAGATACCCTGCGATATTACGTATTGGATGATGTCATTGTGTCCGCGACACACGGACCGCTCGTATGACGAACCGAGTTCGAGGACTAGCGAATGCTGAACTAAATGACAACAAAACTATAATGTCTGAACAACAACTATCGAAACTATGTATTATTTATGTCGACTTACGTTTTAAAGTCGAGCATGTCTAACTAGTTTTGAACTCGATAGGAGCTTTTGCTCATGAACACAGTTCACTATCGGTCAGATCTACTCGGGAATCAAACCCGTCACTTGGCGATGCGAGAACATGACTGCATAGTGATATATAATCAGCCCCATCACCACCACCACCGCCGCCGAACGCACGCGCTGCTCGCTCTTTTCGCGATACAGCCGTGAACCGTGCTCATGAATAAAAACTCTTTTGTTTTTTCTAATATATAAGGACATTTGAAAATTCCAATGCTCTAGTGATTTGTATCCGGTTTTCTCCTTATATTTTGCGTATAAAGAATTGTATTTTAACGTATATAAAGTTTGAGCGCATTTTATTAGAGGCACTGTGTGTTATAGTTCAATATATATAAATATATACTTATATAATAAGCCGAAGCCATAATGATTACACAACGATAACTAATAATCCTGTAATAAGCTTCGGTACTTCCTATTAACTCAAACTAATATAAAATTATAAAACTGTAATACAAAACAAACTTTCCAAAAAAAAAACTACAAATATTTCTATTTCACTCGTGTGCCAACAAGCAGCTATGTTTTTACTCTAAGGGTGATATTTTGCTATGAAATTACTGTTTAATACCACCCTGGTTGAGGACCAGGACAGGAGGTGTTGGTACAAACTCTGATTTTGCATAAATCATTTATAATATCCTGCGGACATTAATTGCGCCGCATATAGCATCTAACACAGTAGTATAGCAGTTAACACATTGTTGAGGTAGACAGTCAGCTTGTTTGCTATTCTGTGCCGTGCAAAAAATGATGTATTCATTATCGCGTAGCCACGTGATCATTTAGATGTAATCAAGTTTGTGTAACTCTCCGCCAACCGTGTGGGTTTTTTTGCACACCGTCAACCGTCCCGGACGATATCGTCTCAGACGATAATTTGACCTACTTAAAGATAGGGAAAATTTCCAAAAAAATTCGAGAAATGCTTTCTAGATTTCTTTTTTCTATTTCCATACTTTTTGACTTGAATACTTTACTCGCTGGTGAAATAAAATTTTGTAAACTCTACAAAAACCGTAATTTCTAAGATTTCACTAAAAAATCGACATCTTGGATACAAATTAGTTTTAAGAAGAAATGTTTTGGAGATTTATTCTTCATATAAGCACCTTTCAAAACCTCGCCTGTGTAAGTTTTTTTACAGAGGGGTTCGTGGCTCCGTCCTTTTTTTCTTACAAAGATATGCATCAGGTCCAAACTCGGCGCGGACGATATTGTCCTATACGGTTGGCGGAGGGTTAATTCGATTCTAAATTACTAG